GAAACTATGTATAAATTACCAACTATTAAGAGAGCATTCTGAGTTCGAATCTAATTTCGTTCAAATTGTTCTCAGTTTCTATGCGGAAGAGCACACGCGCGAAATGAACTCGTAAGTAAGCCTTTGCCCGTGTTAATAAGCAAATTTAAAAGTAACACTTAACAATGAAACTACCAGAGGGGTCAAACGACCCATGACTGATGTCTTCTTTTTGCAATTATTAGAAAGGTAACAAATGTTTCTCTGGGAAATTATTAAAGAAATTCATTTAGCACCACGCAAATTCAATTGTAAATCAATTAAAGTCTGAACATGTACTCTTGGAGTTTCTATAGCGAAATTTTCAAAAGCCAATTGAAGTGCTCGGTAATTTTAGCGTTAACCCTTTGCACTCGAGAGGTGACTTTGTATAATACCTCGATACTTGAAACATTGGAATAAGCTTTGTTCCTCAATGTACTAATGATTTCTCTTCTAATTAGTCTCAAAGAACATCGTCTTCGCCTCGTAAAGAAATGTTAAATATTTCTAATAAAACATCCGAGTGCAAAGAGTTAAGGTTCATTTGTATTTCAGTAGAATTTCCAATGCGTACTTTAAGTTGATTCGTTCAATTATAATTGCTTTCGTAAACGAGAGAGAAGTTATTTCATTTATTAAACTATTAACTGTAATTCTTCGCGTGGCCTTGATCCTGGAAAATCGAAGCAAGAAAATCTAAGTTCGCAAACTTATCACGAAGTTAATGGAACCAGCGAGAATCAGCAATTATATAAATGAATCCAGAACACGGGCAAATCTGAGTTAATTAAGAGTGCATTCAGACGCGTGCTTACTGAAATTAACTTAAAACTGGTCCAACTGACCTCGGATTGTATCATGCGACGTCCTCTGGACTCGTTATATTCAAAATATCCTGGTTAATTGGCCAATTTCCTGAATTCGGAAGTGGCCGGAGGTAGAAAAATTTGTACAAGAAAATTTAATGACTTCGAACGTTTAGAAATTTATGTAGAACGAATGAAGTTCTTATTTTATGGTTACTCCTTTCGTGAACGAAACATTTATGACGCTAAGTAGTTTAGTTAATTAAATGAAACAACCAGTCAACGATCGAGACACTAATAAATATGACTCTTACTTCGTGTCTCTCGATATAAAAAAATACTAACAGATCTATCTACTAATTAATCACTCCTAAAAAGTGAGGACTTCAAGGAATTTCTAATTTCATTTCTAAGTTCTCTTTCTAATTTATGAATACCATGTACTCTAAGTTTCAAAGCAAACTACACAGATATACGAAATCGATTCATCACAGTATATATGAAAATTCTTACTGTTAAGAATGCTACTCATTCGCTATGGTTGATTATTATTTTCTAATATAAACATACTACGATTCAACTGAGTATTGTGTAGGAGATTCGTAAATACGAGAATCATATTTGTATAAAATATACTAAAAAACATGAATCTCAAGTTTTCGTATTGAGTATTTATTATCATACAGAGTGAATTTCGTATTCATGGAAACAGCGGAAGATAATATAAAACGAAATTGAATTACTTTCTTACGTACTTTCTTAGCATTAATACTCTACTCTCAAATGAAACTATATATTATTCACTTTTAAGCAGACTTTCCTGTAATCGTGCATGTAAAGCTATTAAGATAGTCTTCAAAGTATTAATAACGTACGATTTACTTAATAGTAACCTTTATCTTTTCTCTACACATTTCTTTAATGTTTAAGATCCGAATCAATTGCTCCGTACACTCTGTATATAAACTATGCGATTTTTATATTTAATAATGAGTATTAGTAGTAAACTAGCACTGTAAAGAAAATTTATTAGAAGATAAAAGGAACGTTTAAACTGTCTATGCAGTTGTAAATATAACAATATAAAATTTGCACTATCAAAATGAATGTAGAAAATAGTGTTGGTTCATCTTCGATTTCTAGTACGTAACAGAATTTTAACATTTCGAAGATGAAAGTCTGTTTTTCTTTAAATCTACAAACTTTTCGATGACGCTAAAAAAAATTCGTAACTGCCCCTTACACGTTCAGTGCCACGTGCACCACATGCGGTACACGTTAATTTTTCTAAAAAAATATTTTTAACTCCTTGCACTCGAGAATATTTTTCGCAACAAATATTGCTTCTTTTCTGATGAAATATCAATGGTACTTTTTACAATTAATATAAAGAACTATTTTATTTCGATGTTCCATGTGTTGGTAGATTATAGAAAATTTAATACTGAATTTTAAATTTTATAATTTCGTTGGGTTAAATCAAACGTCGAGTGAAAGGCGCCTCTCGAGTGCAAAGGGTAAAGACACATGGTCAAGAAAACAAAGAAACGACATCAAAATATATAAAATTAAAAAATACTTGAATATAACCTAATATTTCATTGAAAAAATCAATGCAGTTCATAAGCAAAATATAACCGGAATTTTGGCACGGAACGCGTTAAACAAGATCATCCGTACGGGAAAATTTTACTACACTCCTCTCGAGTTCTTTTTCACGAACCGTAATAATTTCATATATTTATCAATCTTTTAAAAAATTCTCTGTGGACCGTAGACTTACTAGATTGCATAGATTGCACAAGATCGAGTAATTCGAGAATATATAAAGCATTCGACGGGGTCAAAATATGTATATACTAGGTCGTAAGTTTCAAATTTCCATTAAATATCGCAGCAGAATCGAACGAACATAATTCCAACGTAGACACCGCAGAAATTCGATAATAAACTTGCGGACTCGAAAATTTATTCTGTACGTATACACTAAAATCTGTTAGACGAAGTGATCACCGAGTATCCCTAATTAAGCCGCAGAACCTACTTACGTTGTTAAAAAATCGGTAAATGTTTAATTCGTTTCTCCCCTAAAGAATAAATATTCAACTCTCTAAAATTGGCCGACAGACTTGGGAAGAAGAACGAGCCGAGCCGCGCTCGGGCGTTCCCCGGCAGTCATTAAAAAACTTCAATCCATACGAACCGTTTTAAACTTTAGTATCGACCTTAACTTCAGCTGTACAGGGTGTCTAAAAAATATATGTCAAAAGCATCGTAGCGTAATTTCACACTTTTCATTTGATGAAGTATATAAGCAAATGCTCGCAAAATTCATTCTGACTTTGAAGAAAAGGATTAATATTTGTTTATTGTTTTATCGTGTTCTACTCATTGTGAAGGTAATTAGTCTGAAAAAATAATTTACTTGCAAATTTCTGTTGAAGTTCCCATGACAGTAACGGTCACCCAACTTGAGACCATAAGACATGTACCAATTGCGTCCATTTTGTTATTTCGCATCACAAAGAAACGCAATCATTGCACTCGCTGTGCCAACTAATCGATATTCGCTGAACAGGAAACACTGGACACCACGGCCCATTACAGATGAACTATTAACCCTTTGCACTCGAGTGACTCTCAGTCACCACTTGATTCGATGCAGTAGAACTATAAAATTTGATATTTAGTATTGAACTATGTATAATGCATCGGTGTGTGAAATATTCAAACAAAATAGCTTTGTTCCTCGATGTAAGTGTGATTTCCCTCGATCAAAAGACGTTGAAATATTTCTAATGGAAAACTTCCAAGTGCAAAGGGTTGAACCAGGAAATTCGTTAAAAATTACGACAGATTATGATCGGGAAGGGAAAAAAACGCTGAGTAACGTTCATCGCGACGGTTTAAAATAAATGAACAAGATCTTGTCGCGAATGAATGTTTCCGCGGCCACAACGAGATTCCTGAAACATCGGTGCGTGAGATATTGGGATAAAGAAGCTTTGTTTCTCAATTCACTTGTGATTTATCTTTGAGTTCATTTAAAAAACATCGTCTTTATCTAATTAGAAAATTAGTACTCCAGGTTGTTTTGTAATCTATCAGCAACTAATTTTTATAATATTCCCAGCGAAAATTAGAAATTCAACATTTCTTCGATCTTTTATTTTCCTTGTTAGTACAAAATTCGGATGTGTGGAAAATCTAATAATTCTAGGGTAGTTTCTTTAAGATTCATTAAAATACTTATTATAACTGGTGTAATATTAGAGCCTACAGAGTTCAAAGGGTTAATACACGTGAAATTATTCACTCCATATAGCACGGAACAACAAATGTCGATGAAAAAGATGGTGTTCAATATCACGAAACACACGCTGATCAATCACACCGAAAGAATAAAAATTCTCATCGTCGAATCAAAGGCAATTCATAAATGAGGATCGAGAAACTGCATAAAACTGCTAGCCAAACTAATTTGCATTAACATCAGTAAGTATCCACGCCTATATTCTCAATACAGAGTTCAAAGGGTTAAATATATCTAGCGAAATACTTCCGAGTGCAAAAGTTTAATTTCCGACCCATTCTTTCAGACCATTCACCTCCAAACTGAGTAAAACACCATGCAACAACGAAAACGTTAACCCTTTCCTTCAAGATCACAATGAATTTCGCGAGCACTTGCTTCGAATCATCTCCATCAGACGAAGTTTATAAGATTACGATGCAGTGATTGTGACAGATATTTCTAAAACACCCTGTACAGTACTCGCAAGAGAGGGAAGTCGACGGGAGGCTGTTCAACGGATTATTATTAATTTCTACTTGAAACTGGCGCCAGGAAAGCTACGAAGAAGGTGTTACACCCTATCGATGACCTGTCGGCGACCCTACAATCTATGATTTCCGCGACCTGAGCGCCGACAAGGGGTTCAACCGTCGCCTCGGTGTGCTCTCGGTTGAAGAGGCGGAGCTTTTATTCTTCGATGGTTTCGACTTACTACTCTTCTCCTTGCTAGTCGTGGCCGACGAGGTTTTCACCGATTTCCCGAGCTTCGCGGCGGCAGCGTCCGAGCCGGTGCTCGTCGACACTGCCGCGCTGCTCGCTGTTTTATTTGCTGTGGCGAGGTGTTGGGATTGGGTTTGGGTTTTAGGGCTTACTTGTACCTCACAGGGTGGCGGCGCGCTTCTGTACGACGGCACAATTTTGAAGGTCACCGATCCTCGTGCTTCACGCTGCAACAGGAAGCAGAACCGTTTCAGAATTTTCCAGAGGAGAAGGGAACTTTTTGATCGATCGAATCTTCGATTTTTCGATGGCGGCCGGCTCGACACAATTGTTACCAATGTGGCCGATCGGATTAGACAGAGGATCTTGTATTTATAGATATATCATAGACGTTTAACACTAGGTTTACGGAACGCGTCAAATTCACGCGTATTGGATTTTAGAAATATTATTTTGTAAATGTTTACGCCGATATTGATTGATCACACTGACATGCACACCAATTACCTAATATCGAATCTCCAGTTTCCACAATCTAAATAAACGAGCATCGATTCTTTTAACGCAAACCTAGTGTTGATATAGACACTGATGCACGTAATGTATTCTAATGATTTAGGATAAACACCGATATGCAGAAACGTTTCTAATATTCAAGAATGCTTAATTTTTAACTCGTCAAGATTCTTAACACTAGAACTACCGAGTATTTAATACGATTGATATGTAATCTCTATAAAAATTGTAATAGATTATTTTCAGTTTCTTTGGATATTCATCATAGTACTCAAGTGAGACTATCTATTTCCAAAATCATTTCGAATATTCAATGCTTTTAAGGTATCAATAATTGCTAAAAAATCGGAACCGGTCATTTTGACTGGTACGTAGTTCTAGTGTTAGAAAACATTCGGAGACCATAGCATAGTTAGGGATTGAAATAGTGAAATACTTAGAATGCATCAAATTTCCTTTAACACTAGAACTATTGAGCATTTAATACGATTGATATGCAATCCCTATAAAAATTGTAACAATAGATTATTTGCAATTTCTTCAGACATTCGTTATAGTATTCTGGTGAAGCTATTTATCTTCAAAATCATTTCGAATATTCAATGCTTCGAAGATATTAATAATTGCTAAACAAACAAATCGAAACCAGTCATTTTGAGTGGTACGTAGTTCTAGTGTTAATAGCAACCTTTACATCAGTTCGTGAAATTTCGATTTTGTAAGATCCGCTGTCTAGTGATGATAGTGAGTTGATGATACTGAGTGGACTCACAGTTTTCGTTTAACACATTCGTTGTCGATGTAACCAATCGATTTTATACACTTCTTTATTTTAATAATCCAGTACATTAATGACCCAGCAATTAATAATGAATTGAAGAGATTTTAACATCAGATATACAGCCAGTTAGATAAATTTGCAAGGAATGTGTTAAACATCAGCGAGAGACACTAAACGCTACTTGATTCGCCGTGTGAAAAGTTTTACTTGTAAGTTTACATACTATTCGTATAAACTATCGTAGAAAATCACAGTTTACAAGTATCGGAAGTGTGAAATATTATTCTAAAGATGTCTCATGAGATTTACACTCTGACTTTAGATTTCGATGAGCTTAACTGTACTTCTTTGTTTAATTTTGACAATATTGATCACACTTACGAGTATCTTTTGCAACGCATTGACAGACTGATTGGCCACCGGTATCCCGTTAATTTCTCGGATCTCATCACCGACGTGAAGAGTCGCTTGTCGGTGTATCATTCCACCGTGCATAATTCGTGCTACCACGCATTTGCCATCTTCGTTCATTTTTAAAGTGATTCCCTGCAAGCAAGCACACGGTATTTATATCCTTTCCCAAGCTGCTCCTTCAGTTGTTATACCTGAACGACGTTCATAGATCGTAACTCAACCCTTTGCACTCGACAATATTTTTCATGAAATATTCATTACCCTCCGACTAAATAATAACGATACTTTTCGCAACCAATACAATTAATTATCTTCTATAAATTAAGAGACTATTTTACTTCAATGTTTTATGTGTCGATTACACAAGGTTTAATATTGAATTGAAAATTTTATGTTTGCCTCGAGTGCAAAGGGTTAATATTATAATAAACTCAAAATTTAACCAAAGGAACGATTCTACGAGAAACCAGTAATAAAAGTAATCAAACTAAACTGTGAAACATAAAACACTTCGTACGTCTTTCTATTTACGATGTGTAATAATTATTATTTATCCACATAAAAATTAAAACAAACTACGAAAACTTATCTTATTTCAGAAAGAATAATTTTGCACTTTTGTATTAAAATATTCTTAACACTAGGTTTACGGGAATTTATTGTACAGTTTATTCTATTGTTCTGGGAAGTTGATATTCGTCCATTTAGAAATTTTAGAAATTGTAGATGTAGAAACAGACAATCAGGATTCATATTCGTGTAATTGGATCAACGAAAACCGATTGAAACATTTACCAAATAATGTTTATAAAATTCAATATTTATTGTACAGTTTATTCTATTGTTCCTGGGGAAGTTGATATTCGTCCATTTAGAAATTTTAAAAATTGTAGATGTAGACAATCAGGATTCATATTCGTGTAATTGGATCAACGAAAACCGATTGAAACATTTACCAAATGTTTATAAAATTCAATCTGCGTCAAATTGACGTGTTCCGTAAACCTAGTGTTAACAGTAGTCTTGTAGTATTTTTATACGAATCGAATTTAACGTAATTCATTCAAATAAATTTGAACAATATTCGAATCGTCTTACCATCGGCTCGTCGGTGTTCTTCTGGAACTGGACCAGCCTGACACGCGTCACATTTTCGAGGTCTAGATCACCGTCCTGACCCTCGAGATCATCGCCTCCGTTCAGATAAGGGAGAAGAGGCGGCGGCGTCACTCTCGTGGCTTCTTCGCCGTAAACTTCGTGTCCGGCTACATCGTGCGCTTGCAACAGCGCCTGCAACAAGGAACAAAGTTGGGAATTTAGTATCGCGCCGGAAACTAACGCAACGTGACGTAAAGCAGACTAATATCGCGAAAGGAACAACGGAACAATATAGTTTCGAAAGTTCAACGCCATTCGATATTTGTACCTTTCATACGATAACGGTTACCGTATTATTTCGACGACACCGAAGAATTATTCATCCGATGCTGATTAAAATTATAAAGTGAATTGCATTATACTCCTATGGTGACGTTTATTCGAAACTCATTTTAATCAGGTTATCGTGTACTTAGTGATAGGGTCTAAAGGTTTCTCTTGAGAAAAAAATGTTAGAACGAAATTCAACGGTTTGTTGAAATTCAAATCTGCAGCAATTTCTAACAAATTTCCTGGTTTAACCCTTTGCGGACGAATGTCGACACTTTACCGAGATCGAACTTTCATGTTTGTAATACTAAGTTGCAAACAAATTATTCACCCACTCGAACAACAAGAAACCAGGGCATAATTTCCTTATTCCATATTATTTAGGCATTCGATGTGTGATTTCGCAGAACCTACAAAAGGTTTTGTATATTTCGAAGAATCTTCTTTGACTAAAGTTCACGTACAACAAAATTCCTATTTTCCAACACGTTTGCGACCAAACAGTTTTGTACTGCTATTAACCCCTTGCCGTATTATTTACTTCTGCTACTAAGCTCGTGCAAAATGTTTCCACTGCACTTTATGTACAAATTTTCTTTCATAATATATTGATAATAGCAAAATAGTTTTCTTCTTTGATCCACGCGCATTGACCAATATTCACGAGTCTCACTCGTCATTGTACAGCAAGGGGTTAAGTTTGTTATACTTTCAATTATATCGATACATTGTACAGTACACACGGATTATTTATTTAACATTCGTTATGCACCACAACAAAAGATCCTTCGAGCCGGATCTCAAGAAACAAAAGACAACGTACTTTCGATTCATTGTAACGAGTCGCGCAGTGCAATAATGTTACAAAGATATTCCACTTTTGTCCACGATGTTTCAGAAGACGTTCGTAGACGAGGTATTGTCTCACGGAAATATTATGCCCCGTAATCGGTGTTAGCCGTTGGTTTCCCGAGTCCCTCAATTCTTAGGGCAAACACTGGTAATGGCACATTTCATCAAACCGCTTCCTTGATTGCGACACACAGATGGTCCCTTGAAACAAGCTATTTGCACAGGACGTTCGAATTTGCGGTTGAATCTTGGCCTTGGTGTTCCAAGTTCCAACTCCCGCCCAGACACGTCTCAAACCGCGAACTTCTGCAAACTACTTCAATTATACGGACGAATTCGCGGGGTAGCTCGGCTGCAGTTCATCCGAGCCCCCATTATACGCCGTTAAAAGTGTCGGATCGGTTACGCGAAACAGGGATGTTTGCGCAACGGAAATTTACAGACACGTACCGTCCACGGTGAATGCTAAGGTGTGCCGGATTTTCAATATTTTTCCATGATCGGCGATCACATTGGGAAACTATTTGCTGAACAAACAGGGGAAAAAGTTATCTCAAAACTTCAATGTTTTCCGATATTCGTATTTTCTTTTCGCGACACGGTCAGTACACCGGCGGCAGTTATTTACACGGGCAATGTTAATATTTGATCGAAAGAGCCGGTCTCCCAATTAGAAAACAAATAATTTCCGCGTCAATGTTTAGTCTATTTATAAAACTGGCGCAACCTCGATTTCCGCTATCAGAGAATAAGTTTACATTTCAACGTTTACGTATTTTCCTTTGGCATCTGGATTCCTATTTGTCAACTCTTTGCACTTGAATGTTTCTCAAATGTTCAACGTTTTCCGACGAGATGTAGGTCACATTGTTCGAAACTTATTGAACGATAATTCATTGATAAATTAAGCGACAGAGGTGTTTTATTCGAATATTTCACGTAGCAATGCGAACGTTAATTTGAAATATTAAATATTCAACTTTAGTTTTGTTGTATCGAGAGTCACCTCTCGAGTGCAAAGGGTTAATTCTTCGTTCTTTTCTCAACCAGGCTCGCAAAGATTGCGTTATGCACTACCAAGGTATTGTAGGGTTTTTCCAGATGAGTGACTGAGTGTGAGATTAATGGTTTGCTGTGTGTGCTTCATGTTTGGTAAGTAGTGTGACTGTGTTTGGAAAATCTTGAGTGGCTGAAAGAATGCGAGGAAGAGTGTCTGGAACCGAGCGACTGGAGTCTATATTATTTTCTATAAAGTTTCTTCATAGAAAAACGAGATTTCTCGTTACCGGTACGCAATGTGTTAATTCGTATTCATATATGGATATTCATTAATTTTACACTGCATAGATTTTATAATCACGAACAAAAATTCGGCCTATAGAGGGTTAACCCTTTGCACTTGAGAGGTGACCCTCACTCACCACTTGATTTCATACAATAAAACTATAAAATTTAATATTTAACATTATATTTCCTATAATGCATAATTTTAAAAAATATTCAAATAAAACAGCTTTGCTCCTCAATGTACGCGTGATTTCGTCGATATAGTTTCACAAAATATCGATTTCATCTCATCAGAAAATATTCAAATATTTCTAATGAAAAACTTCCGAGTGCAAAGGGTTAATCCCACAGTACAAACTCCGTGAGCGCGAAATTACGGTCTCATTCGATCAACAATCAAGTTCTATCTACTTATTTGTTATTGGAACGGCAATTTTCCTGCTTAGGGTGAGGCGGTCGAGTAACCTCTTAACCCCGCGGAAAGGGGGAAAAGTAAACCCTCTAAACCCTCAAACGTCGCGGGAAGAGGCGGCCGGTGTTCTTTCACCGATTCCTCGAGCTCCTTGGTCGTCGACACGTTCAGTGGGTTCTAAGACTTTTTCAAGCCCCCTAATGAGGGAAAAGTCACGTCGGTTGACTCGAGGAAGCGGAAGACGGAAACGGCGGACGACGACGACGAGTGGATGGCTGCTCGCGTTGCGGCCGGCGCACGATACGGCATGCCGCGCGGCATTCCAGTACGTCGCAAAGTGTCGGAATAATACGCCGGAGGCGTGCCGATGTCTGAAGAACGTCGCGGATACGGGGGACGATCGTTCGAATTCCTGCGAGCCCCGACAGGATAGATTACACGAATCTCCCCGACCGTTCCTCGAACATCCCCCGGTGTTCACGCTCGATGACCAACAGAAGCGTTCGAACATTCCACGCTTCCGTTCTTCGAAGAAATATTTTTAACCTCTCAGCCAACGCCCAATTTTCAATTTCTTGAAATCTCCTGAATTCCTCTTCCTCCGTTGGAGATACTTAATAAATTCTTAACACTGGGTAATCGATAATTCAGCTTCATCTGCTTAAGGTTTTGTATATTTCGAAGAATCCTCGTAGAGGTTGCAATAAAATAGAATGTCTGACTCGACATAGGACTGCTAAGGGTTAAGCAACGAAGCTATTTTACTTGAATATTCCACATAGCAATACAAAGTTTCATTTAACACTAGGTTTGATTGAAATATTTACCAAATAATGTTTGTAAAATTCAATCTGCGTCAAACTGACGCGTTAAAGATAGCTTATAGCTATCTTTTATTCTAGACAATCGAAGGAGATGATAATTAAATGGTAGAGAAAGAAAGCTCTGAAAAAGGTTTCACTGTGCTGGCGTCGTGAAAGGTCAACACTGAAGATAAAGAAAATTAAGAAAAACTTTTCCTAGAGGTCTAGAATGCTATACGATTAATTATTGTCGCACAGGTTATCTTTCACTTCGCTCTTTATACATAGGATTAACCACTACTATAAATACTAAATTTGTTTATTAGAAATCTTGCATATTATATGTTTCAAATCAATTTGGAAAATTGCCATTTCTGCGACAATTGCCTGTCGACGTGTACACGTCGCTGACGTTCCTGTAACAGAAGCATCTCGACGTGGCACGTCTTTCCACCGCAAGTGGTTAACGCGTTGAATGCCATGGGGGTCACCGGTGACCCCCAAGCAAATCAAATTACTAAACGACGATTATTCGCACACATTTCTATATTATAAATAATGCTATCCATCGCGATGACGTTCAGTTCGATGAACGTGCAATGATGATAATCCAATTCAGTCAAATGATTTAATATTGTATTTTTACCATTTTTACCAAAAAATTGTGATAAATTCAGTTCTCATACCTAACATACTCGTTTTAGTAAACGATTACAAAGGACGAAAAATCAGGAGACAGAAGTGGTACTGATTTATCCCGGCAAGAATCGGTAAGTCAGCCGATCGTGTTTCCTGACTCAGCTGTAAACACCCACCGTCGAAGTAACAGACGGAACACGATGAAATAAGTGTGCGTCCGTTCCTACTGCCGGTTACTTGAAATCGCGCCAAAATCGTCGCATGGCTCGCACCGATAGCCGCGACACGTTTCTATTTCCCGTGCGCCGCGGACGCCTAATCTATATGTAAATCCCGGCCGCGGAGGAAAGCATGTGCGAAGTGAAACACGCGAAAGCGCGGGGATATCGGGCCAATTTTCTCGTGATTCCGCGAGAGCGGCCGATCCACGCGAAAACAAGCGGCGGGAAAATTCGGTCGATAGCGGTACTAACAACAGAAGCTGATCCGTCCAGCTGCAAAACGAACTCCAATCCTACCAATCGGGTAAATCAGAACGACGGAATATTACGCTGATTCGAGCTGCTCTGGTGTTTCATCGACTCGAACGTCGGGACGCTGTCGGGTTCGTTGGAAAGAGGTTCCGCGTGACTTCCGTACAACTTCTATTATTATTATTGTTTTTCCCTTTCGCTGTCTCGATTTTTATCTGGTTCTACTATGTTTCCGTTCATATCTATGTTCGGGGATTCAGGAATTTTTTAAATATTACATACATTTCAATTATTGTTGCTTTTTAGATTGTGCTTTATGTGTGTGCTGATTCCCTTTTTTCTCTGACCTATTTTGATGACTCCTGTTCTTACATTATTTTTAATATTATTATTATT